GCTGACTAAATACTTTTTTGCCCCACTGTATATAAATCACATATTGATAAATAGCTGAATGAGAAGAAGAAGAGGAGTGTGTGCGAAAACGGTGTAGCTATATACAGTGTGTTAGATGGACGAGTTGTACAGGGAGATGGCCACAGGCAGGAATGATTTCCTGTGTCGTTCAGTGGTGTTCTTTGGTAATCTCAGTCTCTCACTGAACTAGCTCCTGTGACTGACCAGCATGTCATGGAGTGGGTGGGACATATTATCCAACATTGTCTTTATTTTGGACAACATTCGCCTCTCTGACACCACCTTAAGGGAGTCCAGCTCCATCCCCACAAACATTACTGGCCTTACAAATCAGTTTATTGAGTCTGTTGGCATCTGCTGCCCTCAGCCTGCTCCCCCAGCATGCAACGGTGTAGAGGATTGCACTGGCTACCACAGACTCCAGCCACCTTCTTTTTTTCAAACCCATGACTGGTTGAGAGCAGTCTTTATGTGACCCTGTAAGAGGAGAGGGTCGAGGGGTGTAAGCAGTGTGGAGTGCTTTTTTTCTGCCTGTATGTAAACCAGGGCTGGCTCCTCAGAGAGACTGCCGTCAGCATGGACGCCATGGCGTCTCTCTCCCAACCATGCTCGTGTTTATTAGAAGGTGTTAGCTCATTGTTGTCTGTAGGCTTTGTTAATTATATTTCCATAACAGTTTGCTGGATTCCTCCTTCCTCAAGATGATTTTCCTCCTTCTGACTTGGTTTCCATCTGCTGAAGAGATTTCCTTTTTCCACACTGACAGTCTCCCAGATAGTGTCGATCACTGTGAAAACAACCAAAGCTGAACTCTTGAGTATCAAAATATTGCTGTGGCGGAGAGCTTTCATTCATTTGACATGAAAAAACAAATGAAGAGAGAAAAGCGTATCCATTCTGTACTGAGCACACACCCTGGGCTGAGTTTGATCAACTTCCTGTCACAGTGTGTGTCAATGTGTCTGTTTGCTTTGTAGAACAGACCTTAACTGTCCTTGTACATATACAACAAAACTGTGGAAGCCCCACCCGATTACTGTGGGGAAAGTAATGAAGCTGTTACAAAGTGGCTTGAGTGCAAAACACCACAATGCACTTCAGTAATGTCGTGTGCATTTTGTAAATTGTGTTTCTGTGTGTGCGCACAGGTGTGGCTGTCAGAGGCCGACAGCAGGCTGTCTGATCACAGCACCAGGAGACAGAGCGGAGGCTGTGGGTTAAATTCCCAGGCAACTACACCAGGCAGCACCAGCCTCAAACAGCTGGACAACCGAAGCCCAGCCAGCAGAGAGAGGTAGTTTCTGACGATGATTGACCATTAATGACATCATTACTGGGATTTCCTTTTTTCATACCTGTCTCTCTCCTCACCTCTCTGTGTGTCCGCCTGACGCTCCTCAGTCCCGATGGCAGTTACACTGAGGATCACAGCGCTGAGCTTCACTTTAAGTCTCGTAGTTCAGAGTTTGATGATGACTTCGACGATGAGGAACCATTGCCGAGTATTGGAACCTGCAAGTCTCTGTACCCATTTCAAGGTACTCTGCGGCATTTAAACATCAGCCGTTCCACTTTACAATGACATGTAAAATCTCACAAATGTCACAAACTATAAACCCAATCAGTCCTTTGGGATGTTAGAAACCTCTTACAACAAAGAAAGTTGCAACTGAAGCAGGCTGGGAGAGAAGCAACAAACACTGAGCAGCAGAAACACCTGCAGACAGGTAAATGGGCTGAGGATAAAGCCCATGCTTCGTCCTCAGCCAGATACACACAAGTTATACATGCAATGCAATTAATACATAGTTAACATGTTTTCATATAAATCACTGAAATCCAACAACCCAGCGCCAAAACTCCAGAAAAGTTCATTTATCTCCCTGTAACAAGCTTCGTTGACAGATGAATCTCCTCAGATAGACTCAGATTTCCACGTTAGAGTCAAAGTGTATTTTGCAGATCTAATTTTCAAGCAATGATCAATTCTGATTGGTAGTGAGATTGGCGAGTCACTCTGGTGTGGTCCAGGTGAAACACTTCTGTTTCTCTGTCGTATCAGCATGTTGTTGATCATCCTCAGGTCAGAATGAGGGCACTCTGTCGATGCTGGAGGGGGAGCTACTTTCTGTGGTGGAAGAAGACAAGGGTGACGGCTGGACCCGAGTGCGCAGGAACCTGGAGGAGGAGGGATATGTGCCAACCTCTTACATCAAAGTCTTCCTGGACAGCAGCGCCAAAGGTGCCATGACCTACATATGACCTCTCAATGACCTTTAAATTACCTCACCTGACACCAGGTCGGGTCACATGACCTCAGACCTTTGACTCATGAATGTCACCGTGCTAGTTCCTATGGTAACAGCAGCCTGCCTTGCTGTGCTTTGCCTGTCTGTGTGCCAAACTTGAGCTGTGTGACACACCTGTACAACTCCAGGGCAGGTGTGTCTCTGAGGCTCACATCAGACACCGATGATGATCAGATTTCTTTGTGTAATGCTAATTTAATGCTAACTTGGAAAGATATTTAGTCTGAACAGTAATGTCTGAAACGGAGAAAAACAAAAGGATCGGTAATCTGGATTAGTGTCATTTGTAGATTTCAGTTTTTACGTTGACTTTTTCAAATGTTTGGTTACTTCGGTTTTAATATTCCAGACGATGACATGTTTAAGGATTAAAGTCTTCAACTCTCTGCTAAGTTAGCTGCTAGCATACCATAACCTCAGGCCTTAGCTTTTAGCATAGCCTTGGCAGCTGCTGCAATAGTTGATTTCCTGAGGATGCTCAGGGAGGCATGTCAGTGAGAATGAATTATTAAAGTTTGTCTATATTACGTTATTACTGCCGTGACAAATAATCTGAAAGCGGATCTCTTAACGACACCTTTAGCTTAGACTACGTCCACACTAGAAGCGATCGCAGTGGCGTGGCAAACAGAGGCTGCAGAAAGCAAATGACGTTCCACGACTTCAAGCGACTACAGGCAAAGTAAGCGACTGGAATCTTGAGTTAAACCCAAGATAAACTTTTCCTACCTCCCAGTCAGGAAATAAAGTGACTACCAGTGTGAGTGAAAAACACGATTGATTGATACTGAGTGACTAAGGAGTCACCCGGGGCCCCGAAGTGTCTGTAATTCACAATGAGCGAATTGCGTCGAGTGTGGACGCAGCTGGAGGCCGAACTGTCGTTTTCTCATTCAGCCAGACTGAAAGCGATCATCAGACTGCAGCTTTTCCAGAGAGGACTGTGGGGTTGTTGTGGCTTTGAGAAGACTGCGCTCAAACGCCGGCACAGTTGTCATAGTTACCTCATTTAAAAGGGGATGAGATGTTTTGCCTTTTTCTGTTCGAATCCAGCACCTTCTCTGTTAATGAGTAAACAGATCTTTGTGATACGTCCAATCAGAGAGGACTGTTAGCCAGTTAGTGCTGGCGAGGATGTTATCGTGCTATACGTCTACTATATTGATATCCAGGGTTGGGCTGAAACAGTAATTAATGAATTGAGATGATGCCTTAAACCAGAAGTCAGCTGAAGTTTACATAATTCATTCAGTGCGTTCTATTTGTCGTTTTTTATGTTTTGCGTTTTATGTTCATGTTATCGTTGATAAACTTGCCAGAGTTCACCTTTATTGGTTCATGTGCTGATTATTTTCTCACTTGATCGATGATCTGAAAAAAAAAAAAAACTTAGTTCAAACTGTAATCTGTTTTTTAAATCAACATGATTATTTTCAGACGAATAAAAACAGCAGAGGAACTTCAGTTCACCTCCTGTCAGGGCCCGAGTGTCTGCTCCCTTTATTATTATTTCACGTCTTTGCTCAAGAACAAATGAAATTCTGCATGTTCGTCAGGTCTGGCGAAAATGTTCATGTTTCATTGGTTTGACATACAGAGAGTCGGGAATGGCTCACCTTGGATAGTACTACCAGCACATGGTTTGAGCTGCATGAATGAAATTTGGTACACACGTGTAACATGTTGAGATGATCGAAGAAGTCTGCGGGCCAATTAAACCCAAACCCAACAGGAACTTTGAATTGAAGATGCCATTTTAGCAATTTCCTGGCACTTTTGCCAACTCCTCCTGGGGATTTTATCGGTTCACCTTAATATTTGGTCAGTCTAAACTACAGACCTGGGCCTATTTCATTTGTTGAAATGAACATATTTCAGCTGCCATATTTGAAACTGGTCACAGTGCCATCTACAGGGAACAGGAAACTGTATGTTCTGCACTTTGGGTTAAGGAGTTGATCTTGGGATACATTGAAAACTGTGAGCTTTCATCAGTGGATGTGACCCTGGCGGCATGGTGAATTTTTGTGTTTCGCCATGAAGCACAGACTTGCTATCACTTACAGACATGTTTCAAGATGTTTCACTGTGAAAATTGTGAGTTTCATTGAGCCGAGTGATCTGGTGCCATCGCGATTCACTATAAAACAGGAAGCAGCTTTTGAGGGCCTTGGAAAGCTTGAACACTCGTGATATTTGGCACACACGTCCATGTGAGTCCGCTTTCCAGGTCTGTAGCTCTAAACACTTGTTGGAAAATGGCTCCGCAGCGCCCCCTGCAAAATTTCAAACACGCAGTCTCTGTACTATGTTTAATGTATGAGTCTGAAATTTGGCAGCCTCATGTGCAACATCAATATATACAACTCTAAATCCAACAGGAAGTCTGCCATTTTCAGGCCTCGTACTTTAACAAACTCCTTCTAGGGCCCTGATCAGATCAACGGGATCTTTGGTGAGTGGAATCAAAAGATCTGGTGATGTTAAACTGTGAAGCTTTTTAGTTGTTGTGAAGTGCTGCAGTCATGGCAGCACACCGGGTTTTTATCATTCACCACGAAGCACAACGCTGCTGTAACTCCAGGATACGTTTTCCAGTTTCTCCCAACCTTCACAGGCATGATGATAGTCCAGGCTTGAACACAGTGATATGCTATTTGTCAGCTATATTTAGAGTTTCGGCTACTGGGAACAGGAAATACGCAGTAGGATAGAACCATCATCCAATCTGGGTGAAAGTTAAGTCTGTGTTTCCCACGCATGCTATATACAGTGTGACATATGGTTATGTCGGATTCTCTGTTTTCACCTGGTGGGTATAGGAGGTTTTCAGCATGGCTCAGCGGGGCGGGGTGCGAGGGCCCTCCCATCGCTGCTTGCAGCTTTAATTACTATTGCTATAAAATGGTGGTGTTAGGGTTAGCTGACGTTCTCAGCAGCAGTCTGTCTCACTCTGTCTGTTCTAACGTATCTGCCTGCCTGTCCACCTGTCTCTCTCTCTCCACTCTCCCTCTCTGTCTGTCCTATAGGCTTTGTGCAGAATAGTCGGCTAGTCTAGCGAGTTACTCGACCAGTGAAGACGTCTCTCCACAGGAAGTGATGTAAGAGCTCAGAGGAGGTCTGGTAACAATTTTTCATTGAACAGTGTTGTTTTTCAGGATCTCAACCAACCAGTCAGCTGGAAGACTGCTTTCTTCTTCTTCTTTTTTTTTTGAGAGACAAAAACCTCAGAACCTAATCAAAGATCTATGAGAAACCAATCAGAGATCAATGGGAAATCGGATCACAGATCCATGAGTAGCCAGTCAGATCCAGAACCATTTGGAGAGCCAATGCAACCCAGTCAGATCAATTAGAAACCATCTGAGATCCATGTGAAACCAGTCACATCAATGAAAACCCAGTCAGAGACCAATTAGAACCCAATCACAAACAAATCGGAGATCAAGGAGAAACCAATCAGTTAATAAATCAGAGGAGATGATTGTAGTAAGAAATGATTCACCGTTCCAAACATTTCTGATGTATAACTGAACGCTGACTTGTGTTTGTGGAAAAGATGAAGATGTATTTCTGATATTTGAACTTTGTTCTTCAAACTCTTCATGTGAGGACTTTATTGATCAGCTGATTGATCGACTATGTTGTGGTCACCACGGTTATTGTGAAATCACTGTGGGCGTGGTCTCTAAAGTGACATTTAAACAGACAAGTCGACTGCATGTAAATACAAATTGTAGCTGCAGGAGTAGCCCTGCCCCCTATCGCCCTGCCAATATTAGCCCCACCACAGGCAGTAACAACCCAGCCCCTCCTATTAGCCCACCCATTGATGATGATGTTATTGACTGTGTAAAATGTGAACCTTTTTTTTAATTTTATAGTGAAATACTGATCAGTTATTTATTGTTTTAGTTTTTCTTTTTTTATTGAGATGTGAGTCTGCTGATCATGCTCTTTTCAATTTCCCGTATGTTAAACTTTCAAAATAAAGTACACTCAGAATCAGTGTGCCACTTGTCTTCATTCAGACTGCTCACACTTGTCAGCTTCTGAGGTGTGTGACCTCTGACCCCTGTAAACTCTGACCTGGACACTGAGACTCTCCTGAAAAGTTTTTAAATCAGACAGAAGAGGAAAAAACTCGTCTGTGGTATGCTCAGTCGTAAGTGACATGACCACTCAACAGATCAACAGATTTACATCTAATGACATCAGCAGGTACTTTAATCAGCTGATTAACAGCACTTCTTCCTCTGGAACCTGTCGATGTTCCTCAGGTAAAGACACAGACTTTAGATGTTCTATAGAAGATTCCTTAAAACCAAATACAAAGTGCAGGAGGAGATTATAATCCAATGTTTTCCTTCAGGAAATGTAAAAGGACAGTAATTATGTGTGAGTGTAATCAGGGAAAGACCTGACCTTAAACAGGAGACCGTGACCTAACAAAGTAAAACAGTGAGTAGTGTGGAAGTTTGGAGAAACTGTGGTGGGATTGCTGCTGTCAGGACCTTCAGAGAGCCAGACAGGAGCGCCGGGATTGTCAGCTTAAATCACTGAAGCTGTAATAATCTGCTTTGAACTGAAGTTGGATCTAACTTATGTGAAAACATGTTGTGTTTGCAATATCGCATGTCCGTGCTTTAAAATATAGACAGTCAGTGGCAAAAGGATGGATAAATGTATGCTGTTCCATTTCAGGCAGAACCTTTCCATTCAAATCCACTAACGAGACTGATCAGTTTCAAAGGAATCATCTCTTTACCTGTTGAGCACCAAAGGGTTTTCTGAGCTTCCTCCTCAAAAATAACTTGCCCAAAGCGGATGGAGTATTTCTCTGCAATTACAAACTCTGTATAAACAATACTCGTTTCAAAATAACGCTAAAACTTGATTCAATTCAATTCAGTTTTATTTATACAGTGCCAAATCAGAACAAAAGTCGTCTCAAGGTGCTTTATATTGTACAGTAGATACAGAGAAAAACCCAACAATCATATGAGCCCCTATGAGCAAGCACTCTGGCGACAGTGGGAAGGAAAAACTCCCTTTTAACAGGAAGAAACCTCCGGCAACCTTCCTATTAAATATCGAATTGATTTTAAAATTTTATTGTTTACTTATAAAATCCTAAACAATATGGCACCTGACTACCTAGCTGATCTCCTCTGTCTGTATAGCCCTCAGAGAGCACTAAGATCATCGGGCCAACTGTTCTTAGTGCAACCTAGGTCTCGGCTGAAGACCAGAGGAGGCCGTGCCTTTGCCGTTGCTGCACCCAGGTTATGGAATATTCTTCCTCTTCATATTCGCGCATCAGATTCCATTCAGTCTTTTAAATCACATCTAAAAATGTATTTGTTTAACCTGGCATTCAAGGCTAACTAGGGTAATTTACATCTGGCATTGCATTTAGATTATGTAATTATTTTATATTTTATTTATTTTATTTATATCTGTAATTTATATTTTATATTGTGATATTTTTTTTTAATCTGTATCATGATTTTACTGGAAAGCACTTTGGTGTACTTTGGTCTTTAAAATGTGCTATATAAATAAATTTTGATTGATTGATTTTTTTGTTTTTCTTTTATCTAACGTGGTGAGCTGCAGATACAGTTAGATATGCTTCTACTTACATTATTTACACTTTCACACCAAGAATCTAAACTGAAATATACTGAGTTTAACAGACAGAGACAGAAAGAAACAAAGCCCCTAAATAATACATTTTAAATGTTCACCTGGAAAAATTATGGTATGTTTTTGGTAACTGATGAGAAGGCAATGTGAATAAAATCTAAAATGAAATCATTGATACACTGAAGATGCTAAAGTCATTATCGAGCCGTCTGATTTAAGTAGAATGGGAGGCAGAGCCTTCAGTTTTCAGGCCCCTCTTCTGTGGAACCAGCTTCCAGTTTGGATTCGGGAGACAGACACTATCTCTACTTTCAAGATCAGGCTTCAAACTTTCCTTTTTGCTAAAGCATATAGTTAGGGCTGGACCAGGTGACCCTGAATCCTCCCTTAGTTATGCTGCAATAGACGTAGGCTCTGGGAGATTCCCATGATGCACTGGGTGTTTCTTCTTCAGCCACTATGTGTTAATAGACCTCTCTGCATTGCACTCCCTGCTCTGTCTCTCTTCCACAGCATGTCTTTATCCTGTCTTCGTTCTCTCACCCCAACCAATCACAGCAGATGGCCCCGCCCCTCCATGAGCCTGGTTCTGCCAGAGGTTTTTTTCCTTCCCACTGTCACCAAAGTGCTTGCTCATAGGGGGTCATATGATTGTTGGGTTTTTCTCTGTGTCTATTATTGTAGGGTCTACCTTAAAATATAAAGCGCCTTGAGGCGACTGTTGTTTTGAGGTTATTTAAACGTCTCTGTGTTCCAGACTTGCTTTGCAGCGACATCCCGTCAGTTTTTGGAGATAATGCTGCAGAGCGGGATGTTTCGCCATCATGGTTTTAACACGTCTGTAGACAGGAGCAGAGTGATGGTTTCCATGGAAACCCAGCACATGAGAGCCAACTTCCATTACTTGTATCATTATGGAAACCAGAGGAGCAAGAATGGTGGAAGCAGCAAGTAAATAATCTGCTGACCTGATAAAACAAATGCCAATCAAATCTGATCAGTTATTGATTATCCATGGTATGAAGCACAGACACAGCAAACTGAAATGATCAATAAAAAAAGAGCTTTCCAATCAGACTGCCAGTTGTTTATTTTTATTTCCAGGAAACACAATAATAGAACACCTTCACAAAAACCTATAACCCATTAGTTATCTATTCAATATGAAAGTCAGCAAGTTAAGAGGTCAGTAAAATTAAGGTGAAATTAAAAAAAGAAACAGATTAGATGAATCAGAAGTATCAATCATGTCTTAGTGATGATGAATAATGACTAATAATGCTGATATCAAGGTTTCTCAGAGTTTAAATATGAGTTGAAAAAGAATCATTTTAGAATTAATCAGAATAAAACTGAAGTCTTTATTCGTGTCTAGTACTTGACTTTTACCAGCAGGGGGAAGTATTTTCACTCAGCCATCATAAGAGACTCACTGAAACAATATCAATAAAATAATTACAACAACAGCTGATGATTGATACAATAAGATAGTCTTTATTATTCCCAGATATGTGAAATTCACACTGTACAGTAGCAAAGTAGACGGCAGGGCAGGAGTAAATAAATACACGCAGCATACCTACAAACAATACTATGCAAGACTGCTCAAAGAAGTCCTATCTCTAATAATCGGCTATGTACCACAGGCCTTCAAGCTGGCTGCATTTTTTTAAACAATATTTTTATTAGTTTTCATTTTCACAAACAACCCATAATTACATAATATAATATGGTGTACAGTTCACGGCACTAAAAAACAAAACAAAAAACACAGAAACAAATCAAAAATCAAACACAGAACAAAAGCTCAGATCCATCGAAACAATACAATACCTGCGGTCCCAGTGATAATATGTAGTTTGAACACTCAAGAAAATCCTTGTAGCATAATATTAGAGACATCGGGTCCCACATAGTTCAGGCATGGTTCTCATACCCAGAAAGCTGGTTGTAGTTAAACCTTTACTCAAAAAGCATCTCTAGACCCAGCAGTCTTAGCTAATTATAGGCCAATCTCCAACCTTCCTTTATATCAAACATCCTTGAAAGAGTAGTTGTCAAACAGCTAACAGATCATCTGCAGAGG